ACACACACACACACACACAGATTTTAGATTGGGAAGCTGAATGAAATGCATGATGAATGGATTTTTTCAGTTCCCTGGCAGACAACCTGTATTTTCTAACTAGGAGGGAAATAAACCCTGCAGTGTTTTCCCACCCCTAATTATGGGAGGTTTGTGGCTAGACAAAGATCCTATAAATTACATAATTCACAGAACATCCACTTGAAAAATTATACCTCCACTCTTTTTCACATCACTCTCACAGCAATGAGTGAAGAGACCAAGTAATTGCAGGTTAATATGCATTCAGCAAATTCTCATCTAATTACTGAGCTTCTTATGCTTGGGGTGAAACCATTTGTAAAATTATTCAGCCAATAATTCCTTTTTCTGATAGTTCTTTAAACTGTGAACTGAAATAAAAAAAAAGGCTAATAAAGTAAATACAGGACCCAAATCCTTGCAGATCTCATGTGGAAAACAGATGTAACTCAGAACAGGTAGAAAAATGCAGGAGAGGAAAGAATTGAATTCACAATTTACAACCCCAACCCAAACTTTGTATTTCTTACTTGATAAATGTTCACAGTCTGCAGGCCCCTGTTTGCTAGGAGCATGACAGAGGCAGGATGAGACAGTATCCTGTACCTTGTGCAGCTGCTGGGGCCAGCTGCAAAACTGCCAGGCAGGGGAAAGTAAACTTCAATTGATGTGAAATTTCCACAGTTCACAAATACTTGTGGATTTCTGTGCAAGGTTCTGTTTCTGTGAATATTTTAGTCATTAAAGCCCAAATTTGATATTTGATGAAATATCACAATCTGGTGTGAATCACAAATGATTTAAAATTGCATCTGAATATTGATATGAATAAATGTGTGAGAAGATAGGATGCTGAATGTTATTTATGATCTCTGTACAGTTTGTTTTGATGCTCTCTGAATTCCAATCTCATTGACCTCCTCCCCATGAGGGAACCATTGCCTGCCATCAATTCAAACCCCAGCACTTCCCAGTACAACCAAACCATCCTGACCCACAGTTCTCAGCCACTCTTTTCCTTAAACCTGTTATCCCTCAGCTTTCAAACCCATGCCAAAATTCTTGAAGTTAATATTCTTGGAAGAGTTTTCCTTCCAATCATCTACCATCCCACCCTGATCCTTCCACAAGCTGATCCTCCAGCCTAAAGCTTTCTGATGGATGTTGCCCTGTTCTTTCCTTCCCCTGCCAAAGCTCCCCCACCTCTCCATCCCACCATGCATTTCAGATTATTACAAGATCCAAAGTAATATCTCTCCTTTCCAAAATTTTTAGATAGCACTGGCTTTGCTAAATTGTTGAAAATGCCACTGTGGTTATTACCAGACAACAGTTAATTCTCCTACTGACTGTTTTATTTATGGACTGGTCTGTACTCTCTCTTGTAGTCTTCTCCAAATAATTTTTGAACCTTTTGACTAGAGTTGACACAGAGGTGGAGGTCTCAAAGCTAATAAATTTCTACAAGTTCCTTGAAAACTGGCTGGCAAGTAGAGAAAAGTAGAAAGATCCTCTCAGTTCCCTGACAAGAACCCTCCAGCAGTGGAAGGGCAGAGAAGGTAAAGAGGGGAAGAGGAAAAGGGAGAAATGCATGGGCGTGTTTTGAAACTTCAGCACTTCTCACCTCCTGCCAAGATTACAGTTGTGAGATGCATAGAAAAGCCTGTGATGTATATGATACACACAGAAAAACAGGTTGTGATAACTCCACTGCTGGGTTTGGTGTGTACAGACACTTCAGTTGCTCCTCAGAAGGGTGATGCAGAGGCTGAAATAGCTGGCAGACAGTCCTGACCAGCACTCAGTTGTAGTCTGAGGCCACTACAGAACACACTGCACAAAGGCAGCATTTTTACCCTTGAGTAGTGTGAATAGCACACATGGATTTTCATTTCATGAAGAGTATTTTACATTGCAAGGAAGCTGACACTGGTGATGTGGCTGAGGGAGCTGAAGGAGAGAGCTGGCTTCTATCTGTGAGAAAGGCTTGTGTGCCTGGAACCTGGTGGGTTTCTTCTAGTGAAAGGTGCAGCCTGTCCTCACAAACCTGCCCCACTTTAATTAGAAATCATTAGTGTAATCCACACAATCAATAGCCTAGGTAGAGCAGTTGTAGCCACCTCTCTGCTCCCCTCTGTGTCCTAGCCTAGGTGGCTGGATAGAACAGTGAGGAAAAACAAACCATGCAATTCTGTGCTGTCAGATTGAGGCCTTAGTGTATAAAACTGAAACAAGATTTTGGAAGGCAAGGAAGAAGCTGGAGGCTGGGAACTAAGGCTTGTCTCTTTCAGGTACAGAGCAGTGGCCTCCTGGAGCCGTGTGCAGGGCATTGGCATCCCTATGATCACTGCTATTGAGATCTTCTCCATCTGGCTTCTGTCCTTCATACTGGCTATTCCAGAAGCCATTGGGTTTGCTGTGGTACCTTTTAGGTACAAGGATGAAGGTTATGTTACCTGCATGCTCAACCCTACGAATAAATTTATGTTGGTAAGTACCATCCTGTCTTCTCTTTTTGGGATCCACAGAGCCAGAGAAGTGCCTGAGACACACCAGGCACGTTTCATAGCCCTCAGCCTCTGTGCTCCTGCAGCTCAGCAGCTGCCAGGACCTACACTGGCTTCTTCAGAGCCAGTCAGGTGAGCAGTCACCACAGAATTAACAAATCTGGTGCAAGAAACTGGTGTTTCTGGAGGGAAACACCACATTTTATTCTGGACTTGGAATTTTTCATGATAGAGTGCAAGTTTCTCTTTTTTTCAATGTCTGGCACTTCTTTTATTGCACCAGAACATGACCTGGGCTAGAGTTGGGAAGGACAGGGCAAAGTGGGGCTAGGAAATTTAGAAAATAAAGTGTGGCTCCTGAGTGTTTTTCAGAGGACTGTCCCCAACTCTGGGGGAGACAGACTGCAGGGATGGCAGAGAGGGCAAGAGAAGAAAAAAAATGAATTCCCTAATGGAAATAACCCATGCAGGTTGAAGATGGAGTGGAATTGCCCAGGAATTGCTAGATCTTTGTTTCTAAACTCTACAGATTATCAGACTGTAGCCACTGTAGTTCTAAGAATATGATTTATGGGCTGCACAGGGCAGCAAATTTCCTTTTTGTAACAGCTGGCTTTCTCCACAAATGTGCCTGGGCAACCCTCATTTCCTCTCTCCCTCAGAAAAATAAATAGTTTTCTCTCCCCTCTTCTCAACAACAGCACAGCTCAGGTCCTCCACAGGCACGATAACTTTAATGATTATTATTCTGGTCTTAACGTTGTAAGTAGAATAACTTGTTTTGGTTTATTAGGAGGAATTAAGTCTCTTTTACTTGCTCAGCATAATTCAAAAGCTCCAAGTCTTCCCACGCCAGCTTGATTTTCAGGGAAACAAGCCAGCATTTATGTTCAAGCCTAAAGTAAATGCTGGAGATGTCAGTCAAAATGGGGAGAGTTCTGTTGCAGTGTGTTGAAAGCCAGCACGAACGTGAGATTAAAAAGGAAATACCATTTTTTCCTTAACTACAGCATTTACTACCACAAACACCACAATAAACAGTTACTAAACGTTGGGATGGATTTATGATTAACTTTTGTTTTTAATAGGAGCTTTATTCATGTTTAAAGTCTTTCAGGGATAGCTTTAAAGATTGATGCTAGCCCGTGATTCCCAAGAGGCTGAGTGCACTAGGAAACTTGTTTAAAATGCACATTTCCTGTAGAAAACCAGTTCCATGTGGGCTTTCAAGACAAACAAAAGAATGTCTACTTCTCTTCAATCAACCCAATTTTGTGCTTTGATGTCAGCCTTGTGAAACTGGGATTCCACAATTAATCGTTGGCAGACGTTTTTTTTTGGGCAGGTTTTGTAACTGCACAAAGTCTGGTCCTCACACAGAGCTCAAGGTAGCAAGGATTCACACAGGGTCCATCTTGTTGCCCAACCACTAGGATTCCACTGTGACTTGGAGGAAATTCTACTCTGACTTGGAGGAAATTCTACTCTGACTTGGAGGAATTTGCCACGGAAGAGATAATTGTCTCCATGTAAAGCTTTTTTCAGCAGAAGAAGCAGTAATTACATTTCCCCTCAGCACAAACTCTTGGAATATGAGGCATGTTGTTTTCTAGCTTTCTGCTGGCAGAGGCTCTGTTCCCAACAGGGAGAATTCTGCCCCCAAGAAAGAAGAATGCAACTATGCAGCAGACTGCAGCCCCTCCTCACGCAGGGGTGAGGTGAAAGAGGAGTGAACAAGCTCACCAGCACAACTCAGAATGTCCTCTGAGGTGGGACTGTGGCCTAGACACCAGCAGCATGTTCTGAACGAGCTCTGCAAGCAGCCAACCATGTTGGGGCAGAAGAAATATCAAAAGCATTCCCTTTTCCTTTGTAAATCAGATTTCTAGTGTAACTCATGCAGATTTTAAAATTAATATTATTGAAGACGAGTCTATTGATTGCTTCCATTTTTTTTTCTCTCAAAGTTGAGTCGTGTTCAGCTTTAAATGTAAACAAGATGTCAGAGGTTTGACTCTCTCCAACAGGATTCTTGTAATCCTCAGTTCTTAGCATTTTGACATTTGGTGTGGGAACTGTGATGTTACAAGAGCACATCCGCCAGGAATAAACAAAGATGATGAGAAAGAAGGTTCCTTTTTACACACATCCCTCCCAGGGACTAATCACACAGGCAGGAAGCATTTAAAATGTCCTATTTCAGCGCACACTTTTGGGCTGAAACATAAAAACCAAGATAGGCTGTTTTCTCAAGGTTGAAAAGATCATCCTCTACAGAAAAGTGTGATTTGAAATGTCCTGTCAAATTTGATAGTTCCCATAAGACATAAGTGTATGAATTTAAACCACAGCTCAATGACATGCCAAAATACCACCACTCTTAAGTCTCTCAGTGTCCAGACACAAAAGGCAAGTGGTAGGAGTGGCAGGCAGAGGGTTAAAAGTATCTGCAGCACTAGAAGCCACCCATCTGCATGTATCAGACAAACACTTAGGATATCTGCCCAGTACCTAAGCAAACCAACCACCAATCTCTTCACTGATAACAAAAGGTGATTAAACTTAGGAGACATTTTGAATGTTCCTTTTTTGGATGCAGGACAGAAGCCGTGGAGGTAAATGGCATTTCCTGAGCCAGGCTTGTAGTGAGATTTGTTATCTCAGGCTGACACTGGCTCCATTTTGGCATGCCCTTTGCATGAGACTGGATTCCAGTTTTCATTCAGGAGTGGAAATGTTCCGAGAGCACAACCAAAATACAATTCATTTCAAGCCAAGGCAGATTGCAACAAAGGCACAGGCTCTGGAAGGTAAAATGTTTGCCCTGCCACAATTCCCATTGTCATCTTGATACAAAACACATCAACCATCAGAACATTCACATCACTTGTGCTGTTTACCTGCAGGCAGATACCAGTGTACCAACTGTCTCCAAGACCTTCCCGTGGTGCTTTCCATTGAATCATAAGAAAATCTCTTCTTTTTTTCTTTACCTTGTCCACAGTTCTACAAAGATGCCAAGGACTGGTGGCTGTTTGGGTTCTATTTCTGCATGCCCCTGGCATGTACTGCCATCTTTTACACACTAATGACCTGTGAAATGTTAAACAGAAGGAACAGCAACTTGAGGATCGCCCTCAGCGAACACCTTAAGCAGGTAAATAGGAGGAACAAGGCTTGAAAATACTCTTCTCTTTTTGCATTGTCTTAGAAATGCTTCAAAGTATAGCTGAATACAGAAAATTACAGAAAGGGAGGTTGTAGGTTGTTTATGACATTGAATTATTTCATTTAAACTGAGAACAAAAGACCCAGCCACAGGATAAGGAGGTACTGAAGACATCACACTCAGGAAACTGGCCAGTTTCTTACTATGTCTGACAGGTTTGTTCCCCTGCTCTTCAACCTCAAACCACTGCTGGCTAAATGCTTTGAAATTGAACCACAAAGATGTGCCAAAAAAATGTTTCTTTTAAGTCATACAGATATGACTTCATAGGTCCTCCCTACTTTTGGGACACTTTGATATGCAACTTGAGCTTCATATGTTAGAAAAACCTGGGTTAGAAGAGAGTGGATTGGTTTTTTTCAGGATTATTGCACTGTTGAGGTAGCACTACTGTAGCTGCTTTGAAAAGAGCAACAGGAGAACAGTAGAAACAAATCTGATCTGTTTTAGCAGAGGACTTTAGAGCCCTAATAGCTCAAGGGTTGGACTTGATGATCTTGGAGGTCCCTTCCAACCTAAAGGATTCTATGATTCTAAATGATCATAGGGTAAAGTCACTCACAGAACCATCAGATCTCACTTGGCTGTTTTTGTAGCACTGGCTGATGTTTAATCTCTAACTGAAACTTTAAAACAATCTGTAGTTTTTCCCTTCTGCTGATGTCAGCCCCTCAGATTCCATTCTTTCCTTCAGACTGTGCATTCACAGATGTGAACCCCTAAAGCAGTCCCCTCTGCAGCAGAGGGAGTTCTTCCAGAGGTTCCTCCTCTGCTGGTTCATTCCAGAGCAGGGCAGTCTGGAAAATCCTCCCCTTGTCCAGATCCTCCCCCCTTTTTCCACTCATCAGACCTCAGGGACTGCAACAGTTAGTCCCAGGGCCAGGCACAAGCTACTCCACCCATTAGGGGTGAGGAAAGTGCCCTCCAGCTTCCCAGTGCTGGAGGAAGCTCCTCAGACTGGTTGCTGGAGGATGCCTGCATGCCTCAACTTCCAAATGCTTGTCTTTTTAACTATCACCATTTTTAGGTGTTTTAATGACAGAGCTTTACAGTGCTTGTCCCTGTGACACCACAGTGGCAGTTCCACAAGTGGAATCCTCACTCCTTCACAAGCTTCTCTTAATCAAAGCCATGCCTACCAAACACCAGTGGTCAAAAATCCACTAGAACATCTGTAAATCTCTAGAGGCATGGAAAAGACCCATTAAATTTAAATTATTTCCTAACTGTTACAAAATGAAGCTGTCACACAGACATTTCTAGAATTTTTTTTTTTAGGGGAACTCTTTACTTAAGAACATGAAGATCACACAGCAAGGATCACGTGGCAAAATTAATATGCTGTGCAGGATCCCTTTATGTGAGATGGTGCATACTGAATATAAAATAATACATCAGAAAGAATTTGACATCCTGGGCACGTAGTCAACTGGAGCTTTTCTTGCTGATTGATTTAGGTGCCTTAGGTTGCCCCCCATCAAGGATTAGGTACAAGTGGTTTATCAAGCTAGTGGGACCCCAGTTTCCCTCATACATGAAAAAGTATTCTTGCAGATGATGCACATTTCTGAAGGAAGAGGTCTACCTGAGGGATTGCCAAAAAGACTAATCCAGTGCAGAGGTTTACAAAGGGCTGGGAAAATAATCAGGTTCAGGAAATCCCAGCAGTGGATTTTCTTTGGCTAACATCTCCAGTGTCCTGGCAGTAGCCTTGTGTGCTCCAGCTGCTCCCTTCAGGGATGAGCAGGTTCTGGGGGGGGTGGCCAGAATCAAGAACATGACAAGCCCCAGAAAAACAAACAGCCCAGGGACATGGGGATTGTCTGGAAGCTGCACTTTGGGAATCTTCCCATGCTTTGTCTGGATTACTTTTGCTGCTCACTGCACCATGATCACTACCAATATGAATGAGGCACTCAGTCACACTTGTCTTTTCCTTCTTTTTCTAGCGCCGAGAAGTTGCCAAGACAGTTTTCTGCTTAGTAGTGATTTTTGCTCTCTGCTGGTTCCCCCTCCACTTGAGCCGAATTTTGAAGAAAATGGTCTACAATGAAAGAGACCCTGGGAGATGTGAGCTGCTCAGGTACCTCATGGCCCTCATCCCCTTGGAGCTCCTGTGAGAAATATCATTGTGTGTGCAACTGTGGTGTCAGAAGAGCAAATGCTTCATTTTGGCTCTTCAGCTGCATCCATTTTTAGGTTTGCAGTTTCAACAGGGTAGCATCATTGCAATAAGAGTTGTCTGTCACCACTGCAGACACTTTCCTCTGGCTTTTGGGAAGTTCTGAGACAGGTTATTACACTCCTGGCATGGTACAAGATTAGATTGAGGGAGTTAGGCAAGTTTATGTGACAGAAGAGACTGACCACAAAAAGCACAGATGCTTCTACAGTGTATGAACACTTTACATATTTTGCTTTCTCTTTTATTGCCTAGTTTCTTGCTGCCTTTGGATTATATCAGCATCAACCTGGCAACCATGAACTCTTGTATAAACCCAATAGCTCTGTATTTTGTGAGCAAGAAGTTTAAAAACTGTTTCCAGGTAAGATCTGCTTGGTAAGATTTTATGTCCAGTTAATGGGTTGTATTAAACCATTTCATTATTATGTTTTCAGCTGCTAGGAGAAGAGGCAGGCAACAGCATGGAAGGTTATAAACTGTCTAGCAGCTCACATAGCACACATACCAAACTGAAAGTGGAGCAATCCACTTTATCTGAAAGGCTAAAACAAGAAGTTTGACATAGTCCTGATGTGTCAAAGTGTAAACTGAGACAGATGTACTCGTGTAAGTTTTCAGCTGCATGTGATCTGTATGTGACATAGAATTTGGTTGAGAACATATTTCCCTCTCTGGATGAAGACAAAGAACACACAGGACACCAAGCTGCCTGCACTTAATCTCATTAACAACTGAAATTTCAGGCTGGAATACCAAAGCAGGCACCTGAATTGAGAGAGTAAAGTAAGCAATGGGTGAATTCTTTCTGCTCCTTTCAGGAGAGACTACTGAACCTACCTGCCTGGGAAGGACCCAGCAGTATGACCTGGATGACCTCCTATTCTATTCCTCAACATATTCAGTCTCTTTTTCTAAACAATTGTGTCTAAGATGTGAGAAGAGACTTAAATCACAGGCTGGGAAATGTTCTTCCTTTCTCTTCCATGCTAAGCAGCATGCTGATCCCTAAATTTGAAGTCCAGTGATAAAGAGTGATAAAATTAATTTACATTAGTAAACCAATTTTGATACTGTGAAAGTTTTTCCTTAAATAAGTGGCACAGGCTGGGCCTAATTTGCTGCTTTTGTGATGTTTAATCACAAGAACTATTTGCATCCTAGGATAAACAGTTTACTCTCTTCAGGTAGAATTGCCTGTTCATTTCTGAACGAAAAATACAGCTGGCAATCTGCACAGAGTTGATAGATTTCTGTTAATTATATATATATTTTTTAATTTCCAGTCATGTCTTTGCTGTTGCTGCTCCCAGTCGAAGAGTCTGGTGACTTCAGTGCCCATGAATGGAACAAGCATCCAGTGGAAAAACCAGGAACTAAATAATCACAACACAGATAGAAGCAGCCATAAAGACAGCATAAACTGAACATGAAGGACTTGGAAACCACTTCAGAAGCCAAGAAGAAAGCAAAAAAGTCACAACAAAGCTATTTCAACAGGAAGCCCAGTGACTGTTCCATAACCAGATCAGATCTGTGCACGCTTGTACCCCAGTCTAGAGGTGACTGAGTAGACTGGCTGACTCTGTGATGTTCTGAGAACTGAGGTGTACTGGATGGTAACTCAGGCTCTGAAGATGGTATTGGTGGGATTATGACCCCAAAAACCTGACTTGAACTACAGCAGGAGCCATCCAGTGTCTGTGAGTGGTACACTCCAACCTCTGTACCTGGCTGTCACCTAGAACTAATCCCTCTGGAATGTTTCAGAAGCTATCAACGTGGAACCTGTGATTATCTTTTCTCTCTGCCCATTTGTCTTTTACCTTTTAATTGTGTGGTGAATATATTCCCTATACTGCTGCGTTTTGCATGTTCTTCTTGTTGTTTTTCAGATTTCTGTTGGGAAATGTTTTGGTCCACATCAGGATTTTCTTGTGTTACGAGGGGTCAGGACGTGGACTGGGCAGTTCACATTTGTAGCACTTCAGGACTCAAAAATAGGAAGAGACCATTGAAAGTAGCATCAACATTTGGCACTTAAGCACAGATTAATACCAAAAAAAAAGAGGTATTAATAATACAGTACTCTACTGTGTTATTTATTCTAATGTTCTGTACAAAATTAAGAAGTAATAAACATAATCTCTATTGGCAAAAAGATGCGTGCCCACAGTGGAGCCACTTAAATTGTGTTTTTAATTAACCTGCCATGTTAATTCTGAAACTGTATGAACCTATTGATCTGTTTAGACTATAGCTGTGTGAAATTGAAACGAGGGTCAGTGGAACCCAGTGAAATGTTGTTAAAGCTCTCCAAAGAGTTGTGAGAACAGTGTTCCCATCCTATGCAGAGCTGTGGGAGGCTGTAGCAGCTGGATGTGCACAAGGATGTTTTGTGCCTTGTGCTGACAGAGTTTTGTCTCACAACCTTCAAAGAGTTTAAGAGATTATCAGCATTGTTAATCATACAAATGCTATGAATGATATCTAGAAAGTATTGCTTGCATATGTGTAAACTGGTGATTTACTTATTATCTTGATCCATGTTATTATCAACTGGATGATCCATCCATCCAATTATTTACTTATTATTTTGATCCATGGGAAGAGATTCTTTGGCTATAAAAAGTTTTAACAGGTAGCCTGGAGTGAAGTAGTGTGGTGTCATCATATGCCTCATGCACAAACCTGCTACAAAACTCACAGAATCCATTGTGCCAGGCTAAGGAGGATGAAAATCCCACAATTTTTTTAAACATCTGTTCTGGTGAGAGGTCTAATCCTGCATATTTTCATTTACAAAGTCAAAATGCTAGTGCCTACAGTGACTTCTGCTGCACGAGTTTCCCAGATGTTTACAGTCACACAAATCTTCTAAAGTATATTAAAAAAAAAAAGCTCTTTAAATGGGTTCATGTATTTCTGTGTTTTATAGTCTCTGTGACATATATGTGTGTATAAATATATACAAATCTGTGTTCATATGTTATAAACCTAAATACAGTCTTCTGACAGTGCTCTGTAGTGGTGCCTGAGAGCATGGTATGGAGTGAGACTTGGCTGAATTTTATTCAGAACATTTCACTCTCCAGCTGTATCCAAAAGCAGAGTAAATGAGTACCCAAAGCTTTCTTTTGAGAAGGTTGGGTCCCTGAGTCTCTTTCCACCCTGACGACTTCCCTGCTCCTTTGACAGGATGGACTGAGCAGATGAGAAATGCAAACAGAAAACAGACAGGAGGAATGATGGATTTAGGTTGTAAATTGCCCCTTCTCCAAGGCAGGAAAGAGCTTTGTGTGCATTCCCCTCTCTGTTATTAAACTGATGGTTAGATGAACCAAAAAGTTCATACTAGTCCAGCAAATCAATAATCTGATTGTTCAGAGATGATCTTTTCTATCTTGTCTACATAAAATGAGGAGTAGAGATAATCCAAGACAGAACTTTAGGGCTCAACTTCTAAACCAACACCTACCTGCAAAAGTTTCAGACCCTGAACCAGACCATTTTGAGGCTTTACACCGGGTTTCCTTCCAGCATTAACACTTCAAACCTCTCTTGCTTTCAAACCAACAGCTGGCTGTGTGAGATGGCAAAGATCATGCACACGTGCACACAAAGCAGACTTTGATCCAGGTCAGATGGAAAAAACATCTTCCTGCTCCCCAAAGAGCTCACTGACCTTAGCAGCACTATTATAAAATACAAAATATCATTAACTAAAGGAAAAAAAAAGAACATAACATGTCTACCAGATATGAGAGGTGCTTTTTAGAATGACTTTTTCATACTTACATGGGGATCAAAGCTTGCAAGAACTAATTGGTGCTCCTCATTCCATCTCCTCCAGCCAGAGGAAGGACAGACAGGCTAAGAGGAGGTCTCAGACCCTGTTTTGCCATGCATGCTCTTTTGTGTTTTCACTGCTGGCTGCTGCTCCCACTCACAAACAGCCCTAAGGACAAATGTGGCAATTATGGTGAGGGGGGAACAGTTCTTAAGGGACTTTTTTAATTCTCTCCTACTTACCCCCAATAACAGCAAGTATTCCTCCTAGTAGTGTAGCTGCCCTGAATTCTGAAAAACTTTCCAAAAGAACCCACAAAAGCCTTCCATAATCCTCAAATTCAACCACATTTAATTTTATCCTGTCCTTTTCCTACCAAGTTCTGCACAAAGGTGCTTTGCTGTTTCTCCTCATGCACCAAAACCAGTGCAGGTTTAGTTGGGCTTTTCCTCTGCTGCTCCTTTCTCTTCATTAGAAGCTTTTCCAGTAGAGCTTTTCTCTGCAGCAGACAGGTTCTCTGTGCCACAAGTTTCAGATTAATTTCTTACACTTTGTGCAACATCTGTTCATCATGAACAAAACCCATTTAACTATCAGAATCATCTTTTTTTTGTGGACTTCCCAGCTTTTCAGCCCAGTCAGTGTGCAGCTTTATTGACTGTTTCCTCTTAAGTACAGTCTCACATCTCAATTCAAACACTTTGCAGAGTTTCCTTTCATTTTAGAATCCAGTTATTCTCTTTGTTTTCCATTGTTTCCAAACTGCCTCACTGAATATTTCCTTTTTGGTATATTTGATATTTATTAGCTCAAAAGATAGAGCATACCTAGGTGTTTACTTAGATTTATGTTTGTATTTGTGTACATAGGAAACTCTTCAGACCTGAACTTTGGAAAAAAAAACATCTATGTGGTAGTTGATCATAAATCTCACCCTAGAGAACTGGAAGCTTGGTTCTGTGAAAGGAGCCTTATGCAACCCTCATGTCTGAGTGTTTATTTTTGCTTTTCATACAGGCAGTTTCAGGTGTTCACTTGCCTATCCCTCCATCTTCCAAAAAGAACTACAAACCCCCTACCCAGCTTGAAGGAATTTTACAGAAACTCATCATTAGGAAGTTACAGAGAATTTCACAACATTTGCAGCAGGGGTAGAACAAGATCCTGCTTGTGCAAAAAAAAATTGCTGAACAGGAGTTTGGATGTACTCAACAAATTCACATGATAGGGAGAGGTTATGGATATTAGAGATGCAGACAAGGCTTTGATCAGAGCCTGCAGCTTGTAAGACATCCGAGACTCAAACCACAACACACAAATTCCTGGAAACCAGCACTTGTAACTTCTATTGCTTGTGGAATTACTTGGCTCTTTTTTTTTTATGGCTGTTTCTCTCTCATCATTTACATATTTACCACCACCTTGTTAATGTATGGTTTGATTCTGTGAAGCCTTATGGGCTTCAGTTTGTGAGGAGAGAAATTCAAATTCTGCTGTGTTTGTCTGAACAGATTTCTGCTCAGATGCCCCTGAGGCAAAGCTTGCATTTTCAGTAGAAGAAACACTCTCCAGCTGCACGCCAACATTGCCTTGCAAAATTTTTTCCAGACAATCAGTTCGTGCAAAGCTTGGCTCAGTGAATTATTACTGATTTACACCCCTCCCCCTTTCAAAGACTAAATAAATGTAATTGCCTCCAAAATCAGACTCGGAGAAGGCACACGGAAAGTTTACAGAGCAGACAAAATTCCCAAGTTGCAGAGGAAGAAAATCCCCAAACCCAAAGCAGGCGTTTCTAAAATGGAGCTCTGAAAGGAACACAGTTTATCCTTAGTCCAAGGGTGGGAAAGGAAGAAGTAAATAAAAAAAATGTAGGTCATCTGCAGTTTCTCTAAAGGAAGATGAGATTCATTGACCTCTAGTATCTCACCCAGTCAGCTTTTGCCCTGCACTACTGCTTCTGAAATGAGCTGCTGCTTGAATCTCAGCTTTTCAGTCTCAGTAGCCACAGCAGCTTCTTATTACAGCAAAGCTCAACATAATAAATGCTACAACTGAGAAGAAAACAAATGTATTCCCTTCTTCAGCAGCTCTCTGCCCACATTCCTCAGGCTACCTGAGCACTGCAGGCTGCTCTGAAATCAATGAAATACCTGGTGCCCCTCAGAGCCTTTAATCTCATTCCATCTTGGTCCTTGAGAAAAGACCAAGTCTACAAGTCACTGAGCCAAGCATCCAAAATGATTAATGAGGAGCATGCCTAAGCCATCCAAGAGAACCTGCCTTCTGCTCTGTATTTTAAACCTAGGGGAAGATCAGAAATCCATCATTACCAGACACCCCTGTTCCATCCTGCAGCCACACTTCATATTTATTGACATCTCTGTGCTCAAGTTTTTGTGCCTTTCCCCTCCAAAATTGCACAGTGGCCTCTATGGCATTGCCTCTGAATAAGTATGTGTTTGGAATACAACCTTTGCTAATTCCACCAGAATTAAAGTAATAATTAAAAGAGTAATGTTTACATGAATAATGAGAATGTTCACAGTTACATGAGCTGGATAAAATACTGTGAGGGCTATGAAACTTTCTCTCCCAGTATATAAAATTCATAAGTCTCAATTCTGGGGATAAGGA